AGTGGATAAATTAAGAAGAAATCAAATATAGAATTTAATATATCTACACAATTGGTAGGATTAAAACTAAAAAAAACTTAAAAAGGAAATCTCCATGTTCATTCCAAAAAAGACCTAGACTCCACCGGACATAAAACGAAAAAAAACATAAACATAAATCCACTCTGCGTTTTACTGTTCAAAAGCCCAGGGATTGTCCTTCCGAATTGCTTCCTCTTGCTCCGGAGGAAAATCATTCTTGATGCACAAAATCTTTCGAATTTGCTCCGGTGTCTTTCCCCTAATCATAGTAGCAACTTTGTCACAAATCTGCTCCAACAAAACCTTGATTTCCAGAAAATTTGCGGCCATAATGTAATCATAGAGAACCGATGCATGGACATCGAGGAATTCCTCATCCCACTTCTTCAGCTCCGCATCATCCTCTTCCGTTTTCTTTCCTTTGCCGTAGTCGGCGTGTTTCTTGCCCCACTCTAACATTTTGGCTAGAGTTTTGCCGTCAACATTGTTCAATGGAGTTTCTCTGTCGTCGTCGTCGCAATATTCGATTAGGTTCTTGAGCATCTCGAATTGTTCGGCGACGTATTCTTCAACCTCGAATATCTCTCCGTCGGCAGACTTCACCTTCAAAACCCTAGACGCCATCGAGTTTCGCTGCGATGAATGATTTGCTGAAACTCTCAGAGAGTGTGAGATTTGGGAATTGAAGGGCTAAACGAAAGAATATATATATATGCGCTACGGTCCAAGGTGTGAGCCCAATACTTAAGGGAGAAGTATTCTTATTCCCAAACGACATCGGATTTCTATCTTTTTGGGCTTTTGTGACGTTTATCCTTTATACCTTTTCTGTTCGGTCACAACTTAATCCGTTAATCATAATTGAACTGAATCAGGCTCACTTTGCCCCATTCTAGCCCATTTTAAGAGAAAATGTGATTTTGTTATGCTAAGTTTAGTATAGTTTGGGTTTTATTTTTTTATATATTTAGTAATTAAACTATATTTAAACCCATTAAAACACACTCGTACCATAACAATTTCTTTTTTTTTTTTGATAGAATAACAATTTCTTTTTGAGTTTATTTAACAAATTAAAAACGTATTAATTATATTTTTATTTTTATTAATATAAATTATTTATTAAAAAAAAGTACAATTAGTTCACTATTAACTTTTTTTTTTTTTGGGTTTTATGAGATTACCGTACTCTCTTCATAGCTATCTGATTCAATGATAACTTCCGAAACAGACACTAGCAATAACGATGAGAAATAATTCAACAAAAATAAAGCTATAAAAACAATTAAAACCATTATAACATACTTATACTATATCATTTTTTTTGGGGTTTATTTAACTTATATTTTAAGAGTAAAAATTAAAAATGTATTAATTACATCTTTTTATGTTTGTTAATATAAATTAACTGTAAAAAAATATACAATTAGTTCACTATTAACAAAAAAAAAGGCTTTTTTTTGGGGGGGGGAGGGGGGTTTATGAAATTACCGTACTCTCTTCATGGCAATGTGATTCAATTAATGATAACCTCCAAAACAAACACGAGGCAACAATACAGTGCACAAGCAAACAAGCCTTATGAACGAGTGCAATTACATTATTACATTTTACAACATTTATTATGTTGGTTATTGCACTAATTATTTATTAATCTGAATGAAAATAGTTTGATTCCTTTTAAATAAGATTTTAAATTTAAATATTGTAAATAAAAAAGTAAACACTGAGAGAGTTTTCTTCCAAATGAAATCTAATATAATTCAATTTTAATTTAATCAAGATTCAATATAATTAAGAGCCAATACCAAAAAATCATGTTGACTATTGCCAAAAGGGGGAGAGAAATGTGAACTCTTAGGGACTTAAACCAACCATCAAGGAGGGCGCCCCGCAATAACCAAGTGGCATATGTGTCAGCTGCCGAGGGTACGTGATGAATTGAAGAAGCAGGCAAACTTTTATTTTATTCTTTCCTTGATGTTCGACCTAGGAAGCCTAGTCACTTTCAAATCATAAATGTACATAAATAATTTTTCTAAGATGCATATTTAGATAGTGTTTGGTTTGAGAAAATTTCTTTTAAAGTTATTTAATTTTTTTATAAAGTTACATATGTACTTTTAAATAAAAAAAACTATAATAAAAGGAGAGCAAAAATGATATTTTTAATTTGCAAATTTTTTTCTTGCACCTTTTTAAAGAAAAAGAGTTTTTTTTTAAACTTTATTTTCTGTAAAACTCACTTGACAATTTTCTTATTAACTTTTTATATGTTTATTTATTACCAAATACATAAACATTAATAACCTAATAAAACTTTTTAAAAATTTTATTACAAAATTTATTAACTTTTTATATAATATTTATCAATTTTTTATATAATATTTTTTTAACTGTTTTCACAATAAAGATTTTTCTAATAAAATTAACTCTCTAATCAATTAGACGTACTTTTATATAAAAACACTATAATAAAAGGAGAGAAAAAATGATATTTTTTATTTTTATTTTTTAATATAATTTTTAATTTGTAAATTTTTTTCTAGTACCTTTTTAAAGAAAAAGGGTTTTTTTCTTAACTAACTCACTTGACAATTTTCTTATCAACTTTTCATATGTTAATTTATTACCAAATACAAAAAAAATTAATAACCCAATAAAATTTTTTATAATTTTTATTACAAAATTTATTAGTTTTTTATATAATATTTATCAATTTTTCGTATAATATTTTTTTAACTGTTTTCACAATAAAGATTTTTCTAATAAAATTAGCTCTCTAATCAATTAGGCCATAAGGTAGGGGCTAAATATGTAATTAATTTATATTTTTAATATTAATTGATATTAAAAAGTAAAAATTAATTTTTATTGAATTAATTGTCAAATTAAAATATTTCACATAATATTAATAATGAAAATAATGTTAATTTTTATATTTTTAAAAAGATTAATATTGAAAAGTTAGTCAATTACATTCTCAATTTATTCCCAAATGCACAAACTATAAATCTTTTAATAAATATTCTCTCTATTTTAAAATAATTATCATTTTTTAGTTCAAATTTCTCTAAAATTATTTATTATTATTTATTATTTTTTAAATCAAATAAATATTTTTATTTTAATCTCATTGTTATTTATTTATTTTAATTAATTATTCAATCATAAAAAAATTTTATTTATTTTTTTAAAGATATTATAAACAAATACAATTAATAGCCCTAAATCCTCACCCTTTCTCACCCGTCACCTCCCCCTCATTCCTCAACATACTCCCTTCTCTCCAAACCTCCTCAAATCTTCCCTTTCCTCCTTTACCCAGTACACATAAATTATTGTGTTCGTGCCTAATTTCACTAATATTTTATTTATTTATAGTTTTTTCAATATCTAATTGTAATATTCAAAAACATCAACCTATAAATTGCTTTAATTTATGAAATAATAATTATTAATTATTAATTATTTTAATAATTAAATTAATTAAAAATAATATTTGATATATAATATTAATAAATCTACGTAACCTTAACAAAATTTTATACAGGAGCCACCATACTCGTTTCGAGAGAGGGTACTTTGTTGACCGTACTCGGTATGATTTTTTTTGAACTGAAGTTAAATGTACTCGGTATGATTTTTTTTTTTTGGTACAGTACTCGGTATGATTTTTTTTTTGGGTACAGTACTCGGTATGATTTGATAAAGGGGGACCATTACTTATTTAATTTCGCCTTTCTTTTGTGGTGAGGAGTGAGGACCGGCGAGGAATAGAATTTGAGTGGGCATAATGAGACCCTGCGGAAAGTATGAAAGCATGTGCCCAACACACTTTAGCACATTCTCCCACTTTTTTTCCCGTGTCCCGTGTGCATTCTGGATGGAATCTATTATTCTATTTCTTTTCACCTCATGTCACGCACGCTTTTGCCAAAAGTTTTTTTTTTTTTTTGGTAAAATTTGCCAAAAGTTGTTGTGTCCAAAGTTCATCTCTTTTTCTTCTTTTTTTCACAAGAAACCCTTTTCAGAAGTCATATTTGGAGGCTAGCCAATTGCTTTTCTTGTCACTTCATGTCTTACCCAATGTGTTTTCTCGACAATTCACAAATGGCAAACCCTTCGGTTAAGTTCTCAAATTTACGTTAATTTTTTTTTTTTTGAACAAAAGGAAATTTGGGAAAAGGGGGAGAGGGGCTGCTATTGCAGCTTGCAGGTAAAAATCAACGTTTAACTCCTCACTTTATAAAGTTGATAAGTTTTAACTCTCATTTTATAATATAATAATTTTAATATTTTATTTTATAAAGTTGATAAGTTTTAGTCATTTACCTTACAAATTTGATAAGTTTTAACCATTACCTTATATTATGATATTTTTAGCTCATCACTTATATGAATTAAAAAAAATAACTCTCACCTAATATCAAGTTATAACGTTCTGTTAGTTGACTGTTAACATTTCATTATAAAAAATATGACATTTAAATTCAATTTTATTTGTTAGTTTCATTAACGGAATACTAACGGATGTTAATAGTCAACTAATAATGGATGTTAATAATCAACTAACAGAACTAATAGTTAGCTAATAAAATTAACAGTCAGCTAACAGAACTGACAGTCAACTAACAGAACTAATAGAACATTAAAATTTGATGTTAAATAAGGGCTATTTTCTTCAATTCGTACAGATAAAGGGTTAAAAGTGTCATAATATAAGATAAGGGTCTAAAACCTACCAACTTTATAAGGTGAGAGGTTAAAACCTATAAACTTTGTAAAGTAAAGGGTTAAAAGTATTATATTATAAGATTAAATGTTAAAACTTACCAATTTTGTAGGGTGAGGAGCTAAATGTTGGTTTTAGCCCAGCTTACAACTTGAACTTTGATCGAAATTAAGAATTAGGCGTACTCAAATCAAGGTAGTCAAAGTTGCAAGTGTATTTATGTTAAATTTTTTATTAAGTCCTTAGATTTAAATTTTTATTAAGGTAATTTAACTCTTTTTTTTACAATAAATTTAATACTAATTTTACAATAAATTTAATACTAAGAACATGTTTAGTGAAGCTTGTAAGAGCATCAACTTTTTTATATTATTTATATTTCATGAGTTTTAATTTTTTTTAAAAACTTATATTTTTTAACTTCTTTTTAATCTTAAAAAGATTTTAAACAGTAACTTTTAAAAAGTTTCAAATTTGTACTTTTTATAAACTTTATTTTTACTTGTTTCTTACTCACTTTTTTCTATTTTTAAAATAACTTTAAAATTTTTTCTTCAATAAAAATTTAAATTTATTACTCATAAATAATATAAAAAAAGAGTAAAAACTCTTACAAATTTTACCAAACAGGCTCTAATTTATGTATCATTTATGTAAAGAAAATATTAATATATTATTATCTATGTGATGAGTATAAATTTTGTTTATAAAAATAGTATAAACTAACATTAAATTTATAATAAAAAAGAGAATTAAATTATTTAAATCAATAAATTTAAAAATTTATTCATTTCAATAAAAATTTAAAATTTTAATTAAAAAATTTAAGATAAATTTAAGGTACTTAACATAGGGTTTTACCTTTACAAATTATGTGAAACATAGGATCAGAAAGGACACACTAACCAACTGGATCCAAGAATCTTTTTACCATGATCAAGAATCTCGATGCATACTCTTAAAAAAAAAAAAAAAATCTCTATGCATATATATATATATATTGATGTTAATCTCTATGCATATTTTGATTCAAGTTTAATGAATTTTGTGATTTTTTATAAGATTAAATATAAGAGAGTTTTTTAAACTTATACCATTAACCTTAAGCCATAAGATTTAGGACACATATTAATAATGTAGTTAATACTCCATGTGTTTAACTTTGGTAACTTTTTTTTTTTTTCTTTCCAATAAACAAGAATGTATGTAATAATTAATTTCATATATATCCCTAATTATTTAATGTTTAAATAAGCTTTTTTTAGTTAATATATGTTGTATTTATTTTTTTAAAATAAGAATAAAATAGAAATAGTAACATTCAATAACATTATTAATAGGAAAAGTAAAAAATTAACATCTTTTTGACATAATTAATATTGAAAAATACAAAAGTTTAGATTAATCTCACATGTTAAACAAACCTATACTTAATTATTATTTGATTATTTTTCATACATCAACAATACATCTAATAATTTATTATATATAAAAATAAAAATAAACTCTTTCATTTTTTCAAATCTTTCATAACCAACTCAAACTTTAAACTTAAGATTTTTAATTTAAAATATAAAATTCTTAATTATTAAGACACCTACTTGAGCAATTATTATTTCATATGAAAGTTAAAGAAGATACTAATACGAGGTGAAGAACAAACAATTTAATGTGAAATGATTACCTTTGGGAGAGCACCATAATAATTTCGCTATTACTGGTACTTCTTAAATCTTACTACTTAATTGATTACCATAAAAAGAAAATTTCTTGCTACTTAAATTTGAGACTTTTTTCTTTCTCATAAATGTATAGGGATTTTGTTTAGGATGTAATTCCTTGGATGCCTATTGAGTACTCTATAAATATTCTGAAATTTAGTGTCATTGAAATTTTGTTAATAGTGACAGTTAGGTTAGTGGAAATCTTTTTTTAATAAAAGTAAAATATTATATTTCAATGACACCTATGCGTTTTAAGTATATTTTAAGTGATTAAAAATTTTAAATTTTAAATTAAAAATTTTGAATTTAAATTTTAAAATGAATAAAAAAATTTAAAAATAATTATTTTTTATTATATAACTTATCATTTATTTAAAAAAAAAACCTTATGTAAGAAATTTGATTAAAAAAAATTAGGGACAATTGCTTTTATTATCAGTATGCAACCTAAATTTTTTTAAAAACGAAAAACGAAAAATCACGTTGTTTTTATTTTATGTATATATATTAAAAATATACGTTTTTTTTTGGGTACAAAATACACGTTGTTTGGCCTTTTTTTTGGTTAAAACCCCTTTTTGGTCCCTGAACTATTGTACGGACCCCGATTTGGTCCCTGAACTAAAAAAATCCCTGATTTGGTCCCTACT